AGCCCTTTTGATGAATTGATTCACTAATCGGATCTTTCAGGAAAACAAAAAAAAGTGAAGAAGAAGGTGAGATGGGAGTGGACTATTACAAGGTTCTACAGGTTGACAGAGGCGCAAGCGACGATGATCTTAAGAAAGCTTACAGAAAACTCGCCATGAAATGGCATCCCGACAAGAACCCTAACAACAAAAAAGACGCTGAAGCTAGGTTCAAGCAGATCTCTGAAGCCTACGATGTATGTTTCCTTCTTTCTCTTTTTTGTGTTGTGTGTTTGATTTCACTGCTTCTCAATTGAAACAATATGATTGCTTTATTGAAATCGCCCCAAGTATTGGTTTTGATAGATTTTTTTTGCTGAAACACTTGGTCCCGAACTTGTTTTTTGATTTGAGATTCAATTGGTCGATTTGATGTTGTGTTTCCAGATTTCGTGTTCTTCGATTTACTTTTGACTCGAACAAGTAGAAGATGATTGCTTTATTTTTCGGCTAACTAGATTCTCTTATGGAGTGAATTGATTAGCTGATAGGATCCCAAAAGCTTCTGATTTGTGCAAATATCCCGACTCAGTCTCACTGTAGAACTTGCTTTCTCCGCTGTCTTTGAAACTCTCTTATTCACTGCTTATAAACCTCTTAAAAAGAGATAAATACTTTGCAACTATTGCATGTCTGAAACTCAGGATTCTGAGACTAAGATCATTTACTTTGATTCATTCAGGCTTTAGTGTGACTAATGTTGATCTTCGTTTTGAGTTGTTTAGGTTCTTAGCGATCCTCAAAAGAGAGCGGTTTACGATCAGTACGGTGAGGAAGGGTTGAAAGGGAACGTGCCACCTCCTAATGCTGGCGGTGGACCTGGTGGAGCCTCTTACTTCTCAACAGGAGATGGACCTTCATCTTTCAGATTCAACCCGAGAAGTGCGGATGATATATTCGCTGAGTTCTTCGGGTTTTCAACACCGTTTGGTGGTGGCAGCGGAGGGCAGAGATTCCCTAGCCGCATGTTTGGTGATGATATGTATGCCTCGTT